CACAATCGCGCGGTTTACAATGAACAGTCGCGCGATCGAAACCGCGCGACAGCCACGCGAAAACAGCTCGGCATCTGAATCGCCTAGGTGTGAACCTAGCCTGAAGCACATTTGTAGATGTAGCAGTCATGGCAGAACAGAAAAGACTGTTAAAATTGTATAGACAGGAATTTCTAAGGTTTATATCCCCATCACATGCCACAGCCACTAAGACTCAGAACATGTGGCACAAATTCCAAGAACAGGGATATCCTCTGGGGATCCTCAGTAAAGCTTTGGCTCATGCAAAAACAAAAATGTTGCAAAATATCCCTGATGGCAGTGAAAACATCAGATTTCCATTCATACAATATTTCAACCATCTGTAACCAATCCACAAAATGATTCAAGGACAAATGAATGTTTTGCAATGTGATAGTGTCCGATGGAGGTTAAAAAATGAATTGCCCAGAGTGGTTATCTAGTCATCTGCATGTCTCTCCAGTCAAAAATAGATTACATTTGATCCTTATCAAATTCATCTTCAATGTTCAGAACAGAGGTAAAGAAATCAGCCTTCTTATGAAAGCAAAAAAAGAAAGCAACTAAAACCTGAGTCTTTGTTGTGATCTTTGAGAATGAATTACTTCACATTACATGCAGATAGAGAGGTTAGGGTTAAAGCTCTTTTACTATTTATTAAGAGTATGTAAACAATGTGATGTCCATTGTCTGGGCACAGGTGCAATTTAACCACTTCTGCTGTTGTTAAATGGCCGACCGCGAGCTTCTTGAATGCGAGCGGGGCGTTTTTACACGTCCTCACCTGTCCCGCTCGTGCGCGCTGCTCATTCAAGGATTAAAAAAAAAAAAAAAAGATTTTGTTGCAATATTTTCCTGCTTTTCAGAGATCTCTCTCGCAGTACATTTTCACTACTGCTAGATATCTTCAGTCTGATGGCACCATCATTTAACCTCTGAGCCCAGGTTGTCCTGGACCCATCCCAGCCTGTGACTGGACTGTGAAAGGAGAAGCAGCACAGAGGTGAGCACATATGTCACTTTGCAGGCTTCTGGTTAATACATGAACTAATTGGCTCCTTGTTCTGCTTCTTTCTCTTATATTTCAGGGATATCCTTCAGGGAGGCAGGTACCAGGTCAAATTCAGGTACATATACTGTTTGCATTTAAAAACTATATTTATTGATATAATAATGGGGAAACCATGTTGTACACCGTGCCATCGTAATATCTCCAAAACTTGCAAGTCACCGACACAGGCGATTAGATTTAAAATCTCATGTGTGTGTCATGGACAGCCAGAGATGGTGAGACACATTGCCTATAACCCCCACCAGAATACAACTATAGACACTGAGTAGATTAGGGAATGGAATACATTTGCACAGCCTGTAATGAGTGTATGGTAAAGGGATAATTGGTTGTCGTTATCATTTGGCCAGAACAGTTTAAAACAATGCACATTCTGAGTCTTTTTTTTAAAAATTTTTAACCTAAGGTTGAACTGCCACGGACTAAAATCCATTCATATTTCATGATCCCTGTTTTGATAGAGCTACATTAATAACAAGTATTTATACAAATGGATAAGAGAATTACAATCACTTATATATATATATAATGTTTATTTTCTTTCAAATGGTAATTTAATTCTATTCAATAATACGAAAAATGTATATAGTTAGGAAAGTGAAATTAAAATTGTATGCTGAAGTACAATCAAAACACTACAACCCTCTTGCCTCCTACCTCTCAGATCATTTTGATTGGTTATGTCATTTCTATAACTACCCTCCTCAGGGACCAGAAGAGATGACTGTATCTGCAGCTCTACAGATCGAAATTTTCTGAATTTGAAACCATGCTGGGTTGGTATGGGTCATTCATGAGAGCAGATGACCTTAAGACCTCACATACACAGGCATCTGGGGATTCCTGCAGCAAGAACCTGTGAATGTGGCTGCTGTGTCTATTCAAGTTAATGACAGGGTGACAGCGGCCACATCTGTCCGTGTCTGCCCGCATGTAATGGTATATGGTACCATTACCTGCAGATCGGGAGAGATGCTTGTCCCCGTGTTAACAGATACCATGAATTGTGCATGTTTTTGGTAAAGCACATGGTGGCATCTATTGTATGTGTGTGTAAGGGTTAACTGTGGAGTTAACTGAGCCCAGTGATGATCTCTCCTAAGCTGGGCACACACGGATCAAATTTTGGAATTTAGAAGGGATTGGCCGAATTTGATCTCTGGGTGGCCATATCCTCTTGACAAAAGTTGATCATCTATTCCAAACCGCATGTAATCATTATGGGGACTGTCACTTACAGATGTGGCTGCTGTCACACCGGCCATTTACTTGAACAAGTACAGCAGCTGCATCTGAATGGGGGCACCTGGCATTCCTGCCTCAGGAATCCATAGGTTCCTACCGCAGGAATCCCAGATCGCCCCATGTGAATGAGGCCTAAAGGGAAATCTTTGCAGCCGGGACACAGAGAACAAAAAATAAACTCAGTAGATGTGAAATTGAAGCACCACACCAATTAAAATAGTCCAGATACCACTTTATTGGACTAGCAGAAAAAGTAAATCCGGCCCTGACCATATGAAAATTCGATAACTAGTACGCCAGCAGAAACTGGCAGCAAGATCCGGTACAAAAAGTGCTCTGTATGCATGTATTGTCTGTGCAATGTTTACATACATACGAAATGGTGGCAGATAGCAAAGAAGCTACTGCTTCCCATGCTATCTGCTGTTTTTTTTTTAAATTATTCTGACAGCTGCTGCCGTCAGATGGAATAAAAAAAAAAAACAGCATAGGAATGAATAGCTAGATTGCTATTGGCTATTTCAATTTGCAATAGCCAATAGAAAGCTGGCTATTGAACCCGCTATTGCACCCACCCTCTGCTGCTGTCAATAAAGGAGGACGTGATGGAGAACTTCAGGTCCACCTCTGCAGTTTGACAGCAGCAGTGGGCGGATGCAATAGCCAGTCTGCTATTGCAAATTGAAATAGCCAATAGAAGCCTAGCTATTCATTCCTATGCTGCTGCGGCCCCAATGGCAAAAACAAAACAAAACAGACAGCAGGGAAAGGTTTACTCTGCTAGATAGAACAGAGAAAACCTTTCTGGAAGAAAATGTTTCTCTCCCGGGCGGCCTATCTAAAAGCAGGGGTCCCAACCTGAAATAAGTTATTCCAGGAAGATGCCCTCTGTCAACAACAATGAAGAGAGCACCCTCCTGAAATGATAGCAGAGAAGATAATGCTTCCTTTGCTATCTGCTATTCTTTTTTAGTGTTCTGACAGCTGCTGCAGCCAGGACAAAAAAAATGGCATAGGAATGAATAGCTAGATTGTTTTTGGCTATTTCAATTTGCAATTGCCAATAGCAAGCTGGCTATTGCACCCGCCCACTGCTGCTGTCAGTTAGCAGAGGTGGACCTGATGGAGAACTTCAGGTCCACCTCTGCTGATTGACAGCAGCAGTGGGTGGGTGCAATAGCTACTCTGCTACTGGCTATTGCAAATTGAAATAGCCAATAGCAATCTAGCTATTCATTCCTAATACCGTTTTTTTTACAGAGTTGAAGTGTCTGTAATAGCGGGAGACTCCCAGAACATCCGGGAGAGTTGAGATGTCTGTAATAGCGGGAGACTCCCAGAACATCCGGGAGAGTTGAAGTGTCTGTAATAGCGGGAGACTCCCAGAACATCCGGGAGAGTTGAGATGTCTGTAATAGCGGGAGACTCCCAGAACATCCGGGAGAGTTGAAGTGTCTGTAATAGCGGGAGACTCCCGGAACATCTGGGTTAGTTGAGATGTCTGTAATAGCAGGAGACTCCCGGAACATTCGGGAGAGTTGAAGTGTCTGTAATAGCAGGAGACTCCCGAAACATCCGGGAGAGTTGAGATGTCTGTAATAGCGGGAGACTCCCGGAACATCCGGGAGAGTTGAAGTGTCTGTAATAGCGGGAGACTCCCGGAATATCTGGGTTAGTTGAGATGTCTGTAATAGCAGGAGACTCCCTGGACATTCAGGAGAGTTGAAGTGTATAGCGGGAGACTCCCAGAACATCCGGGAGAGTTGAGATGTCTGTAATAGCGGGAGACTCCCAGAACATCCGGGAGAGTTGAGATGTCTGTAATAGCGGGAGACTCCCAGAACATCCGGGAGAGTTGAGATGTCTGTAATAGCGGGAGACTCCCAGAACATCCGGGAGAGTTGGGATGTCTGACTATTCATTTATTCTTACAGTGGCGGGCTGTGTACAATAGCGGTGGTGGAAGATTTAGGCCTGGTTCACACCTAGGCAGTTTGAGCAGTAGAAAAAGCGCTTTAAAAAACACCCAACACAAAAAATCCCATGATTTTAAATGACCCCTGTTCAAACCTGAGCAGCAAAACGCCAGCAGTAAAATGCCAAAAACATAAAAAAGTACATGAGCTTTTTTTTGGCAGGATACAGCTCCTTTTCCCCCCATAGACTTTAATGGAAAAGCCAGGAAATGCACGGCAGAAGCATGTTGCACATTTTCGTGCGTGTTTTTGTGCGTTTCTACGCACGTTCATCCATTGACCGTAGTGTTTTTTGAGCTGCCAGTCAAAAGGCGTGTCTTGTCATGCAGAAAATGTGCCAAACCTGTCTAAACATGCAAAAAAAAGCACAATGAACCCGCACGTAAAAACGCACAAAAACAATGCTGCCTTGGTGTGAACGGGGCCTTATTCTCCCATGCGTTTTAGCGTTAATGGAGGAAGCTGTTAGATATTTTTTCCCATGCAGACTTTATTAAGGCACAGCCAGTTTCATAAAAGCAATGTTTTGCCTTTAATTCTACTTTAACATTAGCAGAATGATCCCATTCACATACAAAGTATCTCTCCTGTCCTAATACTGACTGTACTGAACTCGTGTTTGCTGACGTGAGCAATAAAGTTTCATTGAAAAAAAAAGCGAATGAAAAGAAAAGTGCCACGACTCCAGAGAGTCAGCAGAGAGGCTGAGCCGGCTCAGTGAACGAGTCTGTGCCAGGAGGATTCCGAACGAAGCGGACTGTCACAGTGCAAGCACCAATCCCGCAACGCTCTACAGGTAAGTGAGCATCCAGGACCAGGCTGCAGACATGGCAGAGCCAGCCACAATCACCCCACTCCTACTATCACAGCTGGATGCCTTTTGTTACATGATTTCCTATGGGAAGTACACGGCTCCGGCTCCCAGGTGATCTGCTAGCTTAGCTGCTGATTAACTTTACTCAAGTACTTTTATTGCATCTGGTAGTCTGCAGTGGAACTACAAATCCCAGCAAGTATTTTCAGGGCTTATTATTCCAGATCAGCTGCAGTTCTTCCATTGCTGTGTAGATGATCTCTATTGCTATGAGTTATAACTAGCTGTGTGATTTATTTTTATTACAACGAGCATGACAGTGGAGGGTTCGGAACAAAGAACATTGTCAGTACTTTGGGATCAGGAAAAGGAATCCCAGTGATCATGCATGGACCGGGACAGATCCCAGTGATCATGCATGGACCAGGACAGATCCCAGTGATTAGATCCCGGTGATCATGCATGGACCGGGACAGATCCCAGTGATTAGATCCCGGTGATCATGCATGGACCGGGACAGATCCCAGTGATTAGATCCTGGTGATCATGCATGGACCGGGACAGATCCCAGTGATTAGATCCTGGTGATCATGCATGGACCGGGACAGATCCCAGTGATTAGATCCTGGTGATCATGCATGGACCGGGACAGATCCCAGTGATTAGATCCTGGTGATCATGCATGGACCGGGACAGATCCCAGTGATTAGATCCTGGTGATCATGCATGGACCGGGACAGATCCCAGTGATTAGATCCTGGTGATCATGCATGGACCGGGACAGATCCCAGTGATTAGATCCTGGTGATCATGCATGGACCGGGACAGATCCCAGTGATTAGATCCTGGTGATCATGCATGGACCGGGACAGATCCCAGTGATTAGATCCTGGTGATCATGCATGGACCGGGACAGATCCCAGTGATTAGATCCTGGTGATCATGCATGGACCGGGACAGATCCCAGTGATTAGATCCTGGTGATCATGCATGGACCGGGACAGATCCCAGTGATTAGATCCTGGTGATCATGCACGGACCGGGACAGATCCCAGTGATTAGATCCTGGTGATCATGCATGGACCGGGACAGATCCCAGTGATTAGATCCTGGTGGTCATGCATGGACTGGGACAGATCCCAGTGATCATGCATGGACTGGGACAGATCCCAGTGATCACGCATGGACTGGGATGGATCATAAGTATAACTTTTGGACTGGGTCTGATCACAATGATCACGTATGGCCTGGGATGGATCATAAGTATAATGTATGGACTGGGTGTGATCCCAATGATCATGCATGGACTGGGATGGATAAGGATAATGTATGGACTGGGATGGATGATAAGGATAATGTATGGACTGTGCATGGAGAAGGAAGGGTGGTGGTGTGGATTGCCTCTACGTGTCAGTCCAGCCAGATCCAGAAAAGTGCAATGCATTGATTGCTGTGCTGCTGACTTCCCCCGAATTGTAGATTGTTCTGCTCTCTATGTAGAAAGTCTTTTGATCTCTGTACTAGATCTATAATAACTGATCTATGTGCTGCCACTGGGCAATGCGAAGCAGATGTTTGTGGCCGGACACAGGACGCTGATCTGATTCTTTGTGGAGGGAGAGCGAAGGTTTCAATGGGATTCCTGAATGGGGATGTGTAGGAGCTGTTCATGGAAAGTTTGATGGGAGATGTGTGACCTGCCTCTGTTATAGGCTTACGTGTCCACATCTGATGAGAGGGACACGTCTGCTTAACCCATCTAGCGGTCTGGAAGGATCAGATCCTACAGAGCAGTCACAGCCTGAGGGGATGGGCTGTATTAGCATATGTGACGAGCTCTGCTCTCTGCTCGTCTGCCGTGTGGTGTGCTCTGCTCTGTTCTTCTGTCTGTTCTACTGTGTGCTCTGCTTTGTTCTGCCGTCTGCTCTGCTGTGTGCTCTGCGCTGATTGTGATGGTCTGCTGTTGGGATGGTGAAGAGGGAAAGCAGATTTTCTGGATTTCTTTCTTCTCGTTTGATCTGTATAAGGAACCAGGACTTGTGGTGGCTTTGGTGAAACAGTTTGCTTTTTCTGTCCTCTTAGGCAAAAATGTTAGACCAATAAACAGCTTCTAGTAAATAGCATAGTCACCAAAGGGCTCCTGTGCAAGAACAATTTTTGGACTGTTCAACTAATGCCCAAAGTCCCCGTTCACACTTGTGCGTCTGCATTTTCATGCATTTTGAATCCAACTTTAAATGTGATTTAAAAAAAAAAAATGTTTTGGTCAATACAGGTGAAATAAAGTATAGGTTGCTAGGGGAAGGGGACGTGTCATGTGCCGAAATGAATGAAAATTGATGTTACTTGCATTTTGTCTTTTCATGAGTTCCTTTCGAAGTTTATGCACCGTTTTTCAAGTTGCACAGAAGCACGTTGCATTGGTGTGAATGGGCACCATCAATTGATGTGAATCTTGTCGCATTGTCGCGAGACGGCTGAAGTGCTTCAGATCACTCGGGTGTAAATAGGGACTTATTATTTATAGATCAAATCAAATAAACAGTAACCTTTGCAATACCCTGAGCGCTCTCATGGTTCATGATTTCAACGGGTCAGACAAGCGGAACTCCAGGAATTTTTTTTTTTTTTTTTAAAGGAGAACTATGAGGTGAGTGCTTTTCACTCACCTCATAGTTCTAGCCGACCTGTGACAATGAGACTGTCACAGGTCGGCTCAGTAGATCGGGAGGTGAGCAAACACATACCGGTGTTCGCTCACTTCTCGATCCTGTCACGGCTCTCTGCCGTGATAGGGGAGGGGCTGGATTCTCCCCTCCCCGATCCGCCAGCGCTGACTGGCGGAACGGACGGGGGAGGGGGCGGGTACAGCTGGCTCTGCCTGTAGATAAGCAGAGCCAGCTGTCGCTCACGCAGCTGGGCGGATCCAGACATAATTGTCGGGATCCGTTTCAGCTGCGGCGTCTCAGTATAGCTCGCGGTATACTGAGCTTAGGGTAACGGGAGGATGCTAGTTTGTGTCCTCCCGTTACCCTAAGGAGAACTATGGGGAAAAGCCCTGACCCCATAGTTCTCCTTTTTAAATTGTGCTCTGACTTACCTCTAATGATGGTGATCCTAGGTAGGTCTTGATTGCTGCTGTGTAGTGTGAAAATGCTAGCTTCATTGATTCCAGATAATACAGTCAGCATTGTTCTTCCATCATTATGTCTGAGAGTTCCATCTCTCATACAGTGAAGGGATCCTGTCATTCTGCCTCCCTTTCTTCTCCCCTAGTCCATTCACAAAATGTCTTGTGTTCTGTTCACGGGATACAAGGAGTTCTGTGAATAGACAAGAGGCGAGGAGAAGCTAGTAAACAACACAAGATCTCCCCTTGTCTATATACAGAACATCTTGTATTATCCTCGGCCTTGCAAGTGGGCAATTGCCACATAACAGCAGTAAAGCTGACCCAAATCTGGGATAAATGGGGCCCCCAAGTCCCAGAGGGCCCTTGTGCAGCCTCACAGTTTGCATGAATGGAATGTGCATCCCTCATGGCCCCTTTATTTGAAAGCTGAACTTTCTTTTTTTTATTTTTAACTCTTCTGTATTTGTACTCTTACCTGCAGTCTGTTCTGCAAGTCTTGTAATCCAGGAATACCTGGCAGAAAGTATAGTCGTGCACTCCCTGCAGCTTTCTATAGACCCTGGTTTAGTGCCCTCCCCAAACTGTAAATGGACAATGAAAAAGAAGCAGGACACTGATGAGCTGTTTACGCTGCCCTCTCCTCCTGTCAGAAAGCTCCCAGAGTTAGAAAGTCAGCACTATGCAAGGTTGGGCTGATTGTATCACAGTGCTGGCCCTCCTGTACCAGTCTGAGTAGTATGTTGTGCAGGGGAGTACGGGAGGCTATTATCAAGACACATTTGGGTATTGTAAGTTGTATATATGTATTTATTTTTTCAGATAAGTCTTTTTACATCTACCTGAGACTTTCTTTTTTTTTAACTGCTATGATAACTACTATTGGTCTTTACACCTAACACTTGCTGAGCATTTACTAAATCCTAACCCAGTAAAGACTAAGCCTATGTAATGGGGAAGGCAAGGCAGCCTGAGAGAGCGGCATGAATTTAATTGGCTCAGTCTATGACGTTTCATATAGAATGAACTCTACCCACAGCCGTGTCCATTTATACATGCAGTAATATCTAAGGCTGCATGCACACCTCTGCATTTTGGTGCAGTGTAAGTGCAATGCGCTAAAACAAACCCTGCATAATGCATGTAAAACACACCTAAAACATAACACATGAGTAGTGTTTGTGAATTTGTCATCAGTTGACTCTTTGGGCCACAAGTAACTAAAAATCCTCGTTTCCAGTTAAAAGATAGAATTGCAAGATGGAGAAATGTGGGAAGCGGAAGTAGTTATTGTGAAATCCCTTCTGTCCTTCAGGGGATGAGTCAGTAAACTTTTCGGAAAGAATTGAAATAGAATAGGGAATTAAAGGAACGCGGCAGCCAATCACTACCAGGGTTTCATCGCTGCATGTGGTTGGAAAAAAACCCCAAAAAAACATAAATATATACAGTCATGGCCCAGAATATTGGCACCCCTGCGTTTGTCAGAACGCACAACTTCACGCAGAAAATTGTTGCAATTACAAATGTGTAGGCATTCTCATGTTTCTGTTTTGTTTGTATTGGTATGACACAAAAAAGTGGAGAGAAAAAAAAGCCCCGATGCCGGCGACGTACGTCGTCAGTCACGAAGGGGTTAAAGGTCTCATTTATTTTTCTGAAAACAGTGGAATGATGGGCTTTACCAAAAAGCTGTCATTTTGTTTCGTCTGTTCACACATTCACCCAAAAGGAGGTAAGGTAAGTTTTGGCAAACTCCAATCTGGCTATTTTATGTTTCTGTGTCAGCAGTGGGGTCCTCCTGGGTCTCCTACCATAGCGTCTCTAGTGATGGACTTGTTACCTTTAAAGG